GTCCGCGCCCGCCCCCCCCCCCCCCCCTTTGGGTGCCCCCCAGGACGCCAGTTGCAGACCGCACCCCGTGCAAACCAAAACCACGCCCTTCGGAGTCGCCGACTCCTCCCCCGTCGGTGGTTCAAAAATGGGGTCCTGAGGGATGGGGTCCTGAGGGACGAGGTGCCTCGAGCAATGTATATCCACCCTTGGATCCCTTCCTATGCTTAGGGCCCCATCTCCCAGGACCCCATCTTTGAGCCACCGATCCCCGTCCCCATCGTGCTATGGTATCTCAGCCCCACTTGGAGCTGGCTGGGGGTCTGAGGTGGCCCAGCAGCGGTTCTGGCAAATACGAAGGGCCAGCTGGTTCGAAATTCTGGGTTGGACCACTTCCTTCGTTTCGGCTACGCGTAGGCGCTGGCCCATCGGGGCGACCAGCGCGGTTGGACATGCCCCCCTCGCGCCCCCCAAAAGCCGCGCACCAAAGGCCACTCTTTCCTAGGGTGACTATTGCCCGCGGCCTATCTCTTCTTTCCCACCACCCCTGTTGGGGATAGGCCCCATCGAAACCCGAAGGGAATTAATCATTAGTTACAACGGCGGGTTTTGGCCAGTGGGCCCGGGCCACGTTCTCGCCCTCCTGTCCCTTTCCCCCTTCCCTCCTCTCAGCAAGTTGATGTGCTCGAGGCTTTTCCGGCCCCCAGGGGGGCCGCCGCCGGGGGCCTTCGAGGGGCCTCCACCTTTTTGGGTGGGCGGGCGCGGCTATGGCACGGGCGCACGCTCTCGAAAGTGCACATTTTCTTGAACGGGATGGAGCTATGTTTGCCTCTTGGGCCCCTCCCGGCGGCCCTCCGGGAGCACTCTTGAGCCTTTTGGGGGGCATCGTAGGCCGTCTTGAAGTCATCTTGGACCGTCGCGGGGTTTATCCTTGGCCGTCTCCGTCTTGTGGCTCTTTGGAGGCTCCGGAGAGCCCTAGGGGTGCGTTGACGAGCTCGTGCCCCCCAGTCCCCCGTTCCCGCTCTAATGCAATATCTTGGCCCCAGCGGAGGTGGACGGGGGAAGGGGACAGCCCATCATATCACACGCCTTCTCACCCCTGGCAAGCGGGGCATTACGCCGCCCCCGCGCCGCCGTGTGGGCCTGGCACCACAAACTGGTGCCAAACGCACTGCGGCAGTGCCGAGGACGCACCAGGTGGGGGGGGGGCGTTTCAGGCAGGCCCCGAATTCGAGGTGAATCGTCCAGAGCGTTCCGGAACGCCTTGAAACGGCCGCGGCGCCCGATACATCCTCTAAGCCCGCCGATTCTGAGAGATCTATGATTGGTATCGGCCCGTTTTTGTCTCGGCTCTGCCTTCGTCTTGGCGTTGCGTTATTGGAGGGGGTGCGGGAGGGGCGAGGCCGGCCAGAGCCCGCGGGGCGCGGGGCCGTTGCGGCGGCCGTCGTCGTTCCCGACTTCGGCCTCATCGTCGCCGCGTCTTCGTCGGCGACGTCCTCGCCGAGAGCGTGGAGGAGAAGGAGGGGGGGAAGGAGGGAGGAGGGGTGGCGGGAGAGGAGGAGGGAGGACGATGGAGGAGGGTGGGGTGGGGGGAGGGGCACAGGTCGCGATCGTCGAGCAGAAGTCCGCGGCTGGAGCTCTCCACCCGGCCTCCTAGTGCGGGACCCATATCGAGCCCGCTCGGGCCATGAGAGGAAACCCCATGGCCTGGAGCGGGGGAGCGCAGACCTCGCTTGGACCTCCAGGTCCCTGCGGCGACGACTACGACCGACGCACGAAGACGATCACCGCCGCCGAACCACCGACGACGACGACGGCGGCAGCGGCGGCGACGACGGCGGCGGCGGCGGCGGCGGCGGCGGCGGTGGCGGTGGTGGCGGCGGCGGTGGCGGCGGCGGAGCGCAAACCTCGCTTTGATCTGCAGGTCTTTGAGACGACGACTACGACCGCCGCACGACGACGACGACCACCACCAACCAATCAAGTCAAGACAATCAAGCCTCACGATGAAAGCACCCTGATGCAAGAATTCTGTCAGTATCGGTCTGACGTTTGATCGTTTGCGGGATTCTTCAGAGCCAAATTGACTACTGATTATGTGCATGCAAAGGCATGGAAGCATTGCTCCAACAGGTGCTAGAAGTTACACCCGACCGACGCACTACGGCGATCACCACCACCACCACCACCCGGCGGCGTGCCAAGAGGGTGAGGCAGAAGGGGTGGGCCTGCTCAGAGCAGGCCGGAGGGCTTCTGAGAAGCCCCGCCGCCTTCTGGGACGGCCTGCCCCCTGTCATTCCCCACCTCGGTTGCGCCGCCGAGCCACCGACGACGACGACCACCACCACCGCACGACGACGACGACCACCGACGACGTTGACGGACGACCGACGATCGATGACGACGACGGCGACGACGACGACGACGACGACGACGACGACGACGACCACGACGACGACGGACGACCGACGACGACGCCGACGACCGACGACCGACGCGCGACAGCGACCACTACCACCGCGAGCGCCAGCAGGCAGAGAAGGAGCTGGAGCCGCTCGGCTACAGCGCCGGGCACGACTACATGGGCAACGTCGTGCAGCCGGCGCGCGCCGCCAGCCCCGTCGGCCGCCGCTGGTCGGAGGGCGACAGAGGGACCCCACCCTGCAGGGGCAGCGTCGAGAGTGCATGAGCGTCGACCAGCGTCTGGTGATCGATGAGAGCGTCGATTTGGAGGGTGCGCCGCTGGATCTCCCCAATGGGGGGGGGTTAGGACCCCCCCCCCTCCCCGATCCGTCGTCGGGGACCCCCCCCCCCTCCTCTCCCCCCTTCCCCGATCCGTCGTCGGGGACCCCCCCCCCTCCCTCCCTTTCCCCGATCCGTCGTCGGGGACTCCCCGCCCTCCCCCTTTCAAAGGGTGGGTGTCCGAACCCCCCCTCCGCCCTCCCCCCCCATTCGGCCGCCCCCCCCCCCTTCCCCCTTTCCGCCACGCCGACCCATGAACCTCCGGAACCCCCCGCCCCCCTACCCCTAGTCCTAAACTCCTAACCCAAACCCGACCCTAACCCCAACCTCGAACCCCAGCCCGACCGAAAAGTACTCATTACTCACTACTCACTACCCACTACTGACTACTCGCTATTCGCTACTCACTTCTCATTACCCCCTACTCACTACTCACTATCCACTATTCACTACCCACCACCCACTACTTGCTACTCACTACTCCCTATTCACCACTCACTACTCACTCCTCACTACCCACTATTCAATATTCACTAAGCACTACTCACTACTCCCTACTCACTACTCACTAACCACTACTCATTACCCACTACCCACTAATCCACTACCGAGTACTCACTACTCATTGCCCACAATCACTACTACTTACCCATTTCTCGCTACTCCCTACTCCCTACTCCCTAAACAATACTGACTACACAGTACTCACTACTCACTACTCGCCACTCCCATGCTCGCTACTCAATACTCACTACTCACTCCCCGCTACGCACTACTCACTACTCACTACTCACTACATAGTCACAGGTCACTGGTCACTTCTCGCTACCCACTACTCACTACTCACTAATCGCTACTCACCACCCACGATTCGCTTCCCACTTCTTACTACTCATTGCTCATTACTCCCTACTCCCTACTCACTACTAACTACTCGCTACTCCCTAGTCGTTACTCACTAATCACTACCCACTTTTCACTACTGACTATTCTACTCACTATTTACTACTCACTACGCCCTACTCTCTCCTCACTATTCACTACTCGCTACTCCCTACGCGCTAGTCACTACACACTACCCACTGCCACCACCCACTACTCTCTATTCATCACTACTCACTAGTCACCACGCACTACGTACTACTCAGTACTCACTACTCATTACTCACTACTCACTACTCGCTACTCTCTACACTACCCAGTAGTCACTATTCATTACGCACTACGCGCTACCCACTACTCACTAATCATTACTCATCACCCATTACTCACTACCCACTACTCACTACCCACTACTCATTACTCCCTACTCCCTACTCAGTACTCACTATTCACTACTCACTACTCACTACTCGCCATTCACTACTCACTTATCAGTACACAGTACTCACTATTCACTACCCACTACTCCCCACTCCCTACTCCCTACTCCCCACTCGCCACTCACTACCCACTACTCACTACCCAATACTCACTACTCACTACGCACTAACTCACTACTCACTAGTCACCACTCCCTACTCACAAATCCGTACTCCCTACACACCTTCTCTGGCGCAGAAAGGAGAAACGATAGAGGCTCCCTCTCCCGGCTCCCTTTCCGGCGCAAAGGGGGGGAGGGGGGGGGTCGAAACCCCCCCCCTTTCAGCGCCAAAGGGGAGGGAAGGGGGGGGGTGTCCGGACCCCCCTCCCTTAAGGGGGGAAGGGGGGGAGGGGGTTTCGGACCCCCCCCCCTTGAAGGGAGGAAGGGGGGGGGGTTCTGGACACCCCCCCTTTAGTGTATTCAGGGAGATCCACTGGCGCACTTTCGTCGATTTGTCGTCGATTTGGCGTCGATTGGAGTCGATCAGCGTCGATACTCGCAGGAGCCAACAAGGTGGTATGTGAGGCTCCCATGAGTTGCCGCAGGAACATTAGGGAGGGATAGGCCCATGGGGGGATGATGCATCGACCCCCAATCGCACACTCATCGCCGATAGGGGCCCGATAGCCCACTCCGCCCAGGAGCGTGCGGATTCGCTATCGGGAGTCTATCGCCGATCTCTTGGCGATGTATCGCCGATTCCGCCCCGATGCGTCCCCCCGAGGCAGTCTCGCCCTAACGTTCCCCGTCAACCCCGCCAAGGTCGATACGTAAAATTGGGGGGGTGGGGCTCCGAGGATTCGAGGCTCGAGGTTTTCAGGTTCCTCGTTCGCTCTCGGCGGCTTTCCAGCCTCGGGATGCCTTTCAGCAGCTGCAACTGGGCCAGAGAGCGTTCTGGGGTTGCCCGGATCGTTCCGAATGGCCGCTGCAGGCCCGAGTTTTGGCCCGAAAACTTTCTAGGAGGTTGACAGGACCCCTGCCCTGCCAAGTCGACTGGCGAGTTGCCCTTTCTCGGCTCTCGAGATTTTCGCGGGCTTGCGCCCGCTGAGTCTGGTCCCGTGTCGTTTCCACTAAAGGGGCTTCTGTCTACCCCGGACTCTTGTGTTTCCCTGCAGGGTCTGACCAGAGAGATCGGCTCGCAGGAGGAGCCGACATCGATACCGATGCCCCTCCTCTCCCCTCCATCATGTGCGCCTTTCTGGGCCTCCTAGGGGCCCTCGTCGCCACGGCCACATTCGCTTCGAAATTCTGTTTAGAGAGTGCACCAGGAGAGGTCTGGGGAATGTCAGTATCGGTATTGTTTTGGCCCCCGATCGGCTGCCTGCCTCATGTTCTCCGCTCCTCTTTTCTCCACCGCCTGCGTGACAGAAGCCCACACCTTTATCTCACCCGCGCCTACAAACTGGTCGAAGTTTGCCCTGTTCCGTCTTCTTCCCATTCTGGCCTCGCCGCCCCATCCCGCTCTCCCTACCCGTCAAAACCCTGCCCAGCGCAGGCTGACCCTGTCGCTGCTCTCTAATAGGTCCGCCTCACCACTCCCCGCTTGCTGCCCGTGTAAGCCTGCGCTCCGGCTCACACGTGCAAGATCTTCACAGTCTGAGCGTGTTCCGCCCCCCGCGGCTTCCTCCCCCCTCCGCGCTTGCCCTTCTGCTGTTGTGCCCGATTAGGCCCCGAAGCGTCCCCGGGCTGCCCCGACCGCGTCTTGGACCCCAGTCGCCGCCGTCAAAAAAGTACGGATCTTGGAGAGGCGCGCCCCGGCCTGAGGCTGGAGTCCAGCGGCTCGCAAAGCGTGGCGGGACGGGGTGGGCGGCCTTCTCGAGAAGGCGAGGGGACGCCTCGGAAGGGCCCCGCTCCCTGGCAGAGGCTCCAAACGGGGCCTCTCGGAAGGCAGGCTGGCTTCCAAGAGAGGGGGGCCTCCAACAGGCAGGTTGGCTTCCCCCTGGCCTGGCTTCCTGATGCGCCAGGCAGGCCGGCCTTCTCCTCGCCCGGCCCCCGGAATCTTCCTGCTGCGCGCCGCCAAGGAGTGCCGCTGCGCTGGTGAGGCGCGCTGGCGGTGACGTTCTGATGTGCCACGTGCCTGCCCTCAAGTCAGCAGGTGCTGCCCTCGCGGAGGTTCTCTCCCGCGCCGACCGATTCGATCCCGCGTGCTCGAAACGCGCCTTTTGTAGGCTGATGCGCGAGCGAGGGAGCGGATGATACTGCTGTTGCTGATGATAGGGGAGCAGGAGGATTAGGATTCCCTGAGGGGCGTGATGATTCTGCGGCGCTGGAGAAGTGATGCGAGGAGGTGGGGCTTGAGACAGCCGATAAGAAAGCGAGGAGGAAGGCCACGGCGATGAGCTCCGAGCAGCTTTTGAGCCACAGCAATGCGAGTTGGTACCCTTACGGATTGCAACCGCCTGAGCGAGGATGCTAATCCCACTCCGTTTCAGATTCCACGTTGGTCTGGAGTCGCCAAACCATCGGATAATTAGTCCAAAACGATGATCATTGACAGATTTGCTCGGTGAAGGGTGACGCATTTTATCAACGCAAGGACGCCGCTCTGATTACTATCGCCTTCTCTTGCACACACACACACACACACACACTGCCGCTGCGGCTTCGGTTACTCATCCGCCCGATCGCTGGCGTTCATTGCAGGTATCGTGCAGCATTATTCTGTTCTTCGCGTCGGGCTACGTGTGGCAGCTTTGGGCGTGCCTTGCGGGATGGTCCCTGAAGCTCAATTTGTTTGTCGCCATTCATGGCATGCCCTGCACGTCGGCAGAGAATGGCAATCAGTGGCAGGAAGATTTGGGTGAACAGCATCATCAGCAGCAAGATGTGGGAGAAGGGATAGGAAAAGTGAGCTGGTGGCAGGCGAGAACAGCGGGCGGTGGATCAAAAGGGCTTCGCCCCCCGCCGCTGCCTCCGCTTTGTTTGCATGAGCAGTTGGGCTGGTTGGTTGGTTGACTAGCTAATTGGTTGGCAGGTTGGGAGCTCGGCTGGTTCACAGGCTGGCATGGGCTGGCTGGTTGGCAGGTTGGCTGGTTCGTTTGCCGGTTGCTTGGCTGGCTAGCTGTTTGGATGGCTGGCTGGTTTGTTGGCGGCTTCGCCTCGTAGGGAAGGAGATTGAAGAATCGGGCGGACGGAGCCAGGAATGCGCTTTACCAGGGGTCGTTGCCCTGGAGCGCGAATCTACATATACTTTGACGGGAATCGCGAAGCGATGGGCGCTTAGACTGAAATAGCGCAGGTGGTTGGATCGACCACCAGTGTGCATCTAGCCAGCTGCCCGTGCGTCCGCATACCTGGGCCAAAAGCAGATTACAGGCGTGCGCACGGCAAAACGGGGTTTGACATCGCTCTTCGTCAGAGGGGCGCCAGGGGGGGCTCCCCTTTCTGCAGAATCGACGGCCCCCCCAGCTTCTTCGGCCTGCTTCCGCGCCGCGCTCAGATCCCTGCCGCGGCGGGTGGGGGACCTGGCAGGTCGATCTTCATGATGATCTTCTCTCGCTACCTGCATTTGCGTGCCGTTCGCAGGCGGGATTGGACAGAGCACGAGGGGGCGGGCTGGGACGGCACATGATTGCATGTTGCAGCATGGCGCAGCGTGGCGACGGCGGTGACGATAGCGGCTGTGGCGGTGGTGGTACATATTACGAAGGCGGCAATGGTGGTGATGGCGACATTGATGGCGGCAACCCCATGGTAGGCAAGATTGGAAAGGTCGTCACTCAGAGCTGACGCCGCGGAAACCAGCTTGTCAGCTCACCGTTCACAACAGTTCTGAGACGCGCCGCACTATCATGCCAGAGCCTCTGGCATCCCTTGCTCGCTTTCCAACATGGTTGCCGTGGCGCCAGGCGCAGAGAGGTGGCGTGGTCAGGGACTCTCAGCTACCGACCGATCAGCGGCGAGGCTGCCTGGAGGCGGCATGGGACCCACCGTTCAGTTGCTCTGAAGCACGCTGCACCATCATTCGAGAGCCACTGGCACCCGCTGCTCGCTTTCCACCTGGACTCCATGGAGCCAGATGGGCAGCGCAGAAGAACAGAGTCGTCTGCACCGACACTCGCGCGTAAGCTGCCCGCGTAAGGGCGCGCGTGAACGCCCTTGCTTTCAATGTGGCGTGCCGCGCTAGCGGCCCGCGTAAGCTACCGCATGAGGTCCATGTGTCATCTCGCTTCAGACCTGTTTCTTTTCGTCGCCCATTGATGCGGAACGATAGGGCGATCAGGACGAGCAGCTGCGAGCCGACAAGCGTCGAGGCGGCCTGGAGGCAGCACCACGGCACCGAGGCGATGCTCGAGGTCGAGATGCTCGGCCTCGGCGGCACGCGAGGTGCCGGGCAGGACGAGCAGAAGGCTGTGCACCACGACGCCGCCGAGGAAGACGCACGGGCCACCACGTCATCGATGCCCAGAGCATCTACAGTAGGCTCGTGTCGTGTCGGCCGGCGGCGACCCCGCCGCTGGCGATCAACGTTGAACGCCGCCGGCGAGCCAGAATCGGTCGGAGTTGAACGATCGGACGTTTCGGAAACAGCCGATCTCTTCAAGGACGTACGATCCCTGTGGCAGGGCACCCCCAGGGGCTTCGCGGCCTGGGCCAGAGCGGTTGCCCTGGAGAGTTCACGGCCCGAGGGCGACCACTGCGCGGTGTGCAGGGGCAGGTTCGGGCGGGGCCAGGACGGGAGTAACTCGTTCCAGAGCGTTCCAGAACGCTTGCAGAGCGTTCCAGAACGCTTTGGAACGGGCGCGGCGCCCGATACATCCTCCAGAACGGCCGTATCTCAGAGATCCACGATTTGTTCCGGTCCGACTTTGTTCTGGTTCTGGCCTTGTATCAGAGGGGTTCCCGAGCACGACGAGCAGCGCAAGCACCACCAGGGCATCACAGCACCACGGGTATGAGGATCAGCGCCGATGGAGAACGCCAGGTTCTTCGCCGTCGGCGTGGGCGCCAGTTTCCGAGCTGCCGGTACTGTCCGCGTGTTTTCGCTAATGCCCGCTTGCTGCTTGAGGAGGAGGCCGCCGCGATCAGCGAGATGTGAAGCATCTCCAGCGGCAAGGACAAGAACGGGATGGTCGATGTCGGGGGGCCCCAGCAAAAGGTGCGGTGACCACAACGTGTGGTGAGGCAGTGGGGATTCAGGGTGATCGTGTGATTTGGGGACTCGGGTCGCTCTCCGAGGATGTATTGCGCGATTGGGACCCTGGAGGGACCTCCAGTGTCTCAAAGTCGTGCGGTGACGGACCGTGTGGTGAGGTCTTTGGTGATTCCGAGGTCACAGCACGGTCTGTCACCGCACCGTTTTGGCATTCTCGAGATGGCCCCAGGATATCGCGGCCTCGCGGTCCGCATTTGAGCTGCAGATGCAGACGCTGGAGCGGGCCCAACGGCGTGCGATTACCCTGAACCAAGGGGAAGCGTGCAGACGCCTGGCGCACGACGATCGAGCATGCCAGGCGGCCTGGCGCTGCAAGTCGAGCCGAAGCCCGCCCTCAGTTTGACGGGCGAGGGAGGCGGAGACGCTGCAGGGCAGGGTGAGGGAGGATCAGTATCGTTTAACCGACCCCTATCTCTATCTCTATCCCCATCCCCATCCAGACCCCCAACATCTCACTCCCCCAGTTGGGGATGTCCCCATCGAAGCCCGAAGGAAACGGCCTATATCTCCATCGAGAGGATAAATCGGCCATGCTGGCCCAGGCCACGCCCACAGGGCTAGGGCCACAACAAGGGTGCGAAGATGGTCGCGCTTCGCGGCCTGGGCGATTGCAGAGCGAGGCGCGAGTCCCTCACCCTGTTCCGGGGGGGGGGCGCGGAAGCGCAAAGATAATCGCGTTTCGCGGAGCGCGAAGCGCGAAGATAGTTGCTCCAGATGGGATCAGTCCTGGCAGTCGCTGCTGGACTGGGGTGACCGTCGGATCCAAGATTTCGTTGCCGATTTTTTGTTGGCGGGCACCGTTCAACCCTTCAGGGCAGCCCAGCGCTGTCAAATTTTGCGCGGCGGTAGCACGACGATGGCGGTTGCGCGAAAGAAGCGTGTTTGAAACCATTAATGTTCGCGCGTGGTGAAACTAAAGCAGAGTGGATCTAAACGCGAAATGTTAGTTTCCAGACCACGTTTGTGATTGCCTTTGAATAAATTGCCCCTGCTTCGCAAATGTATGTTTCTGATTTCAGAATAAACCCGTTTCTTTGTTTATGTGTTGTCGATGTTAATTGTTTGGTTTGTTCATTGTTTTGAGCCTTTGGTCGAAGTAGACCGTGCGGTCAGTCAATCGAGTTTTGGCCGTTGTCAAAATTTCGCAAGCGGGGGGGTGCCGGTTGAAGCGAGATGTCGTTGTTATTTCCAAGGGGTGGTTACCCTTGAAGACTAGGTGTATGTTGTCGTTGTTTCCTGCGCAATCGGTTTCACTAGAGTGTGCCAGGAGTGATCAGATGGGGATGCGGACTGGGATCGGTAGGGGAGGGGATGGCCTCGCGGAGCCCTAGATGGGGATCGGGATGGGTTAAACGCTGCTCAGAGGAGTCGAATGACAACAGCTGCACAAACACGGACCTTCGGAGCTCTGCGCGGCTTTCCCGGATCGGCGCCAGCCGCCCTCCGCGGCGCGCGGAGCGCGCCAGGGGCGGCGCTGGACCTCCGAGAATTTAACCATTCGGCCACGCGCAGATGGGGGCAGGGGGAGGGGGAGAGGCTTCGGAGTTGCGGAGTTGAACTCCCATGAGTTGAACTAGCTCCTGGAGCCTCGGCGCTGGTACTTCGTGGGTAGCAAACCGGCCCAGTCCAGCATAATCCGGCTTAATCTGGCTCCACCCGGCTCAATCTTACGCTGAGTCCAGCCTAGGTCGGTTAAATGTTCTTCTATTCGGGCTCAATGGCCCGCCCAAGGTCCTGGGAGGGACATTCATCCCAGTTGAGAGACCAACTAATCTCGATTAATCCTCATGAATCCTGGGAGGGCCATTGGCCTTCATTGATCCGGCGAGGCCTAGTAATCCCGACGAGCCCCCCTTGTCAGGAAGCAGTTCCTGCGGAGTTTTTTCCTTACAAGAGAGGGGGCGAGGGGGGAGGGGTGGCGTGTCGGGGGCGAGAGGGGCGAGGAACGCGATGGGAGGGCAGGGAGCGCGGAGCGGCAGGGCGGGGGGTGTGGCGCACCATGGGCGCAGGGGGCGCGGAGCGGCAGGGCGGGGGGGAGTTGCCTCCTGACGGCAGGGGGCGGAGGGCGGGAGGGCGGGGAGGAGGGCGGCGAGACGTGATCCAGGGAGGCGGGGCGGGCCCGCAGGCGGGCGGCGCCCGCATGGGCGGGGCGCGGCGTGGGCGGAAGGGGCGCGGACGCGGAGCGGGGAGGTAGTCTTTAACATTTCCCCTTCCCCATCGGGCCATGGTATCCCAGCCCTACCAGCACGCCGCCCCAGCTGGGGATATACACCTCGAGCCCCGAAGGGGGAGGAAATCGGCCAGTGGGGCCTAGGCCATGCCACTGGGGATAGGGATCGGTAAAAGGATGCTCGGAAGGGTGTCCCTGGCCCAATCTGTCCCTAGGAATGAACTCCTGAGGATTTGCCTCGTAACGAGAGGGGGCGCGGGGGGGGGGAACGAGTCGGTGGTGGGGAGGGCGAGGAGGTCGGCGATCGGCCCAGGGCGCGGCGGTTTTGGGGGGCCTTGGGGGGAGGGGGGCGCGGAGCGAGCAGGTAACGACGATGTCCAGCCGGGCATCGTCGCAGTCGAGCCAGACGGAGGCCTTTCCGTTTGATCTTCCCCGTTCCAAGGCAAGGATAGGAAAGGGAAAGGGTCCGCGGAGGAATGTGCGGGGGGCTGGGAAGGGGGACCAGGGGGGCAGGGAGGGCGGGGGCAACCTCTCACAGGACGGCCCCATGACGGCCTCACACGGCCTGGGGTTGCCAAATGAATCCCTGGCCCAAGATGTCCCCAGCTTTTCGCTCCAATTGGGGGCCCCTGGAGGGCCCTCTGGGCCTCGTGAAGGGCGATCTGGAGGCCGTGGACGGCTTCCCTGCTGATCCTGGCGACACCCTGGACCAGGGACCTGTGTCGGGCGGGTGGTAATGGGGGTGATCTAGAAGGAGGGTGAAGAACAGGGCCCCGTTAGGGCGCTTTTTCTTCACTCCCCCCCCCCTTCGGTCACCCCTTCTTGCCACCTGCCCGAGGACACCTCTGGTCGACGGACGGGGCAGGGGGCGGCAGGGCGCGGGGGAGGTGCTACTTCACCACGAGCCGAGTCGACACCGAGGCCTGTCTGCGCGCCTCGGCAGGGGCTCCCCCCCCTCCTCGCCCTCGCCCCCGTCCTCGCCCGTGCTCCTCCCTCCTCCCCCTCGCCCGTCCATCTCCTCCTCCTCCCCCTAGTCCTCCTTCCCACTCCTCCCACTCTCCCCCTCCCCCATCCTCCTTCTCCCTCCGCTTCCCCCCTTTCCCGCCTCGTTCCCCCTACCTCACCCCCTTAATCCCATCCGTCGTCTCTCCTCGCACCTGTTCATTCAGCTGCCCCCCTCCTCCCCACTTACTCCTCGCCTCCCCCCACTCTTCATTATCCCCCCGTCCTCCACACCGTGTCCACCAAGAGGGTTCAGGGACAACGGTTATTCAAGCGGCGTCGCTTCAACGTGATGCACGGTTGTCGGCCTAGCAATGCTTGCATGGCACCGCCACATGCCACAATAGAACAGCGATGGTGCGGATTACGGTGATGATAACGGGACGAGGGGAAGAAGACCCGCGGGATATATGACCAGGACGACGATGGTGGGGATGAGGAGGGGGGACGATGATTATCAGGTTGACAAAGAGGTTGAGGCACATGAGTAATGGGATGGACCAACATGTTGTTGTTGGTGATGATGGTGACAACGATGATGATGATGATGATGATGATGATGTTGATGATGATGCTGAAGTTGATGATGATGATGGTGATGATGATGATGCTGAAGTTGATGATGATGGTGATGATGACGGTGATGTTGATGATGATGGTGATGGTGATGATGATGGTGATGGTGTTGACGACGACGACGATTGCGATGCTGTGGAAGATGATGGTGGCGATGATAATGATGCTGATGCTGATGCTGCTGCTGATGATGATGGTGATGGTGATGGTGATGGTGTTGATGATGACGGTGCTGATGCTTGTGATGGTGGTGGTGATGATGACGACGACGACGGCGACGAGGCGTAAGCTGAAAATGGTGATGATGATGGTGATGATGTTGGTGCTGATGCATGGTGCTGATGATGCTGATGATGACGACGACGGTGTTGCTGATGATGTTGATGATGCTGATGATGGTGATGATGACGACGATGACGATGCTGATGGTGGTGATCGTGGCGCTGGTGGTGATGATGACGACGACGATGATGTTGATGGTGGTGGTGGTGATGCTGGTGGTGGTGATGTTGATAATGACGTTGATGATGTTGATACTGATGATGATGCTGGTGGTGGTGCTGATGAGGATGATGATGATGATGATAATGATGATGATGCAGGTTACTGATGATGATGCTGATGCTGATGAGGACTGATTATGCTGCTGATGATGATTATGATGACGATGATGATGATGATGCTGATGATGATGATGATGACGCCGCCGACGACGGCGATGATGAGGAGGATGAGGAGGACGAGGATGATCATGGCGATGCTGATGACGATGGCGATGGCGATGACGATTATGCTAATGGTGGTGATGATGATGCTGTTGGTGCTGATGATTATGATGATGATGGTGATGATGATGAAGATGATGATGAGGAGGAGGATGATGATGATGATGAACATGGCGATGTCGGTGGCGATGACGATGATGGTGCTGCTGCTAATGATGATGATGATGATGATGATGATGCTGATGATGATGATGATGATGATGATGATGATGATGATGATGATGATGATGATGATGATGATGCTGATGGACCTGCGACGACAACGGCAACGACTGTGCTGGCGCAGTGGATGAAAAGGGATTTGAGAACGGACGGACGGGACGAGACTGGCAATGGGTGGCGGGGGACGGAGCACGATGAATGGGGGACGGGAGAGCAAGGGCGGAGGAGGGAGGAAGTGCGATAAAAGATGGGGTAGGACCGAGATTGGGGGAGGAGGTAGAGGGACGGGGCTGGGGCACATATTGCGAATGATGAGGGTGGCCATGAACATGAGACGGATGATGTTGGCGGCGATGAGGAGGAGTAAGACAAGGCGGACCAATGATGAGGAAGGGGAGTAGTGTGTCGGGGGGGCGGGATGAGCAGGCGCAGTATGAGAATGAAGAGGACGTGGCGGAGGATGGGCAACATCAGAACTGTAAGGACGGGGGTGAGGAGAATCTGGTAAGCGGGATGCTAGTCATGACGATGCTGGCGATGGCTATGACGATGGCGATGATGATTGATGAGCATGATACTGCTGCTACTGATGATGCTTACGATGGTGATGATTACTATGACGATTATGATAACGATGATGATATATGAGATGAGATGGGATGATATGAGATGGTGATGGTCCTGATGATGATAACGACGATCGATGATGAGGATGAGGTTGAGGATGATGATGATGTTGCAGATGATGATGATGATGATGATGATGATGATGATGATGAGGATGATGATGATGATAGGGGTGGTCGTGGTGATGATGATGATGGTGGTGATGACGATGTTGACGACGCTGATGGCGATGGCGATGATGATGGTGATGACGATGACGGTGACCATGATGAGGAGGAGGGGGAGGAGGAGGAGGAGGGTAAGGATGAGGATGCTGATGATGACGATGATGCTGGTGCTGGTGATGATGGTGATGGTGATGATGCTGATGATGCTGATGATGCTGATGAGGAGGACGATGATGATGCAGATGAGGATGATAATGATAATGCTGCTGACGATGACGATAACGATGCTGATGAGGTGAAGGATGGGGATGAGGCTGAGGATGATGATGAGGATAAGGAGGAGGATGAGAATGATGGTGAGGATGCTGATGATGTTGACGATGCTGCTGTTGATGAGGTTGATGAGGCTCAGGATGGGGATGATGATCATGATAATGAAGCTGCTGATGCTTAGGATGGTGATGGTGGTGGTGGTGATGCTGCTGATGATGCTGATGATGATGACGATGCTGCTGATGCTGGTGATGATGATGATGATGATGATGATGATGATCATGATCATGATCATGATCACGATCATGATGATGATGCTGCTGATGATGAGGAGGAGCAGGAGGAGGAGGATGCGATGATGAAGACGATGCTGATGATGGTGTTGATGATCAGGAGGATGAGGATGATGAGGATGAGGACGAGAATGATGATGATGATGATGATGTTGAGGGTGATGAGGATGACAATGAGGAGGAGGAGGAGGAGGATGAGGAGGATAAGGATGACGATGATCACGAGGAGGATCATGAGGATGATGATGACGTTGATGATGAGCAGGATAATGATATTGAGGATAAGGACGGTAAGGATGAGGATGCTGATGATTATGATGATGATGATGTTGTTGATGATGATGGCGATGGTGATGATGATGATAATGCCGATGATGATGATGGTGATGATCAGGATGAGGATGAGGACGATTTTGGCGATGATGGTGATGATTTTGATGCTGGTGTTGATGCTGCTGATGATGCTGATGATGCTGCTGATGATGAGGATGATGATAATGCTGCTTCTGATCATGGTGATGAAGATGATGATGATGATAATGCTGATGATGCTGATGATGATGATGATGGTGATGCTGATGCTGATGCTGATGCTGATGCTGATGGTGGTGGTGGTGATGATGATGATGATGATGTTGCTGATGCCGATGCCGATGCTGATACTGATGATGGTGTTGATGATGTCGGTGAGGCTGCTGATGATGATGATGACGATGATGTTGATGCTGATGTTGATGCTGCTGATGATGCTGCTGATGATGCTGCTGATGATGAGGATGATGGTAATGATGCTTCTGTTCATGGTGATGACGATGATGATGATGCTGATGCTGATGCTGATGCTGATGATGCTGATGCTGATGCTGATGATGCTGATGCTGATGCTGATGCTGATGCTGATGCTGATGCTGATGGTGGTGGTGGTGGTGGTGGTGATGATGATGATGCTGCTGCTGATGATGATGCTGATGCTAGTGGTGATGCTAATGGTGATGCTAATGATGGTGATGATGATGGTCATGCTGCTGCTGTGCAGGAGGAGGAGGAGGAGGAGGCAGAGGAGCATGAAGAGGAGGGGGAAGGGGGAACGGCGGCAATAGGAGAGAGGAGTAGGACTGGACGGGTGGTGGTGGTGGGAGCGGCAGAGGACGTCCGCTTCAGCAGCACCCTGCCCCGCCCGGTTGGCCAGGCCCTCGTGTGGTTTGCGGCGCCCCTCTCGCTGGTGCTCGCGTCGAGCGGCTTCTGGGCGGCGCGCCTCCGTCGCCCCCCCTCTCCCTGGCCTGGGGCCTGGAGCCTGGACGGCGGGCGGGGTCGGGGGGATCGCGCCTCCCAGGCTCTTGCCCTTCCCTCCGGCCTAGCCCCCCACCTGCGCCTCCTCCCCCTTCCCCCCCCGCCCTCTAGTTCTAGACGCTTCGCGCAACCCCACCGGCCGATCCAGAATCGACGGCCAGGCGAGTTGCCCTGAACAGGGATGTGGAGGAGCATGCGTCGGAATGAAAGGTTGGGGAAGCCGCCGTACCCCAAGAGGGGGAGAATAGAGGAGGAATCGGAGGAGGAGGAGGAGGAGGAGGAGGAGGAGGAGGAGTAGGAGGAGGAGGAGGAGGAGGAGAACGAGTGGGGGGAGGGGGAGGGGGGGGGGAGGGGGAGGGGGAGGGGGAGGGGAGGAGGGAGGAGGCAGGAGGAACAGGCGGATGAGGAAGAGGAGGATGAGGAGGAGGGTGAGCAGAAAGGCCAGAGGCCTCGTGGATGTCTCTCGGAATTTCTCTGGATGTCTCTTGAGAGTTTCTTGTGGCCCTGTTGGGGCGTCTTGGGAGCCTCATGGCAGTCTCAGAGACCTCGTAGAGCGTCTTGGGTGCCTCGGCGGAGCCTGTTGGGGCCGCTTGGGGCCTCTTGGGGCTCCCGTGGAAGCCTCTTGGGAACCTCTCGGGACCTCTTGAGGCCTCCTGGGCGCCTCTTGGGGCCTTCTTGGCAGCGTCTTGGGGCACCCTGGGGAACCTGGGGGCCATCTTAGGGTCATCTAGGGGGAGATCGATCAAAGAAGGGGAGGTGCTATATAGGCGCCCCCCGGAGGCCAACCAGTGCCCAAAACCGTAGTAATATCAATGATGTTTGCCTTCTCGCCGAGGCCGTCTTGGACGCTCCGATCGGTCGCGAAACGCCCCGTCCAGGTTCAGGGGGAGTGGGTAGGGGGAGGGGTGAAGACACCCTCCCCGCCCGCAGGCTGTCTCGCTCACCCCCCGCCCGTCCTCCCAACACATAAGTAGCCCCCGAGCCTCAGCGTGTTCAGCGGTCATCTATGAATGGGCAGCTACCAGAACCAACAGCAGACCCCATGTGCGCGATGCTGGGGCGAGGTGCGCCACGCGTGCCAGGCGCGCCAGGCGCGCCAGGTGCGCCAGGCACCCCTGGGGCCCAAGCGTGCCAGGCGCGCCTGGCGCGTCACATGCGCCACGTGCTCCTGTGCCGTATGTTCCAGTCGTGCCAGGTGCGCCACGTTCTGGGCACGCGCGGAGTGTGCCAGGTGCGCCCGCGCACCTGACAGCGCGCGCAGCAGGCAATACCATGCCGCCCGCCACCCTGTCAAAAGGCGGGGCCCACGAGCATAACCTAAGAAGTTGCCCCAAATGTCATTTTGTATGGTTTTTGACAGAGATGGGGGGGTCATTGGTCCTGATTGGTTGCTGGTCGCCTGGGGGACGGGGTGTTTCTTAATAGGGAATAGTGCTCAACCCCTCCCCGAAGTGGAAGAAGGGGGATGGAAGAGGAAACGCTCTAAAACATTCGCGCCGCCAGAGTGATGGTGGGATTCCCCAAGTCCCCCCCCAGTCTCCCCTCTCTCTTCGCCTCCTCTCCTACCCTTCTCTTCAACCTTTCCCCCTCTCACCTTGCCCTACCCTCTCCGCTCTTCGCCCTTTCTCTCTCCGCCCCCCTCGCAGTTCCCCCCTCATTCTGTCCTCCCCACCACTTAGTCGTTCTCCTCCGTCTTCTCTTGATAAGAAGGGGGAGGAAGAGGAGGAGAGAAGGAGGAGGAGGAGGAGGAGGAGGACAGGGAGGAGGAGGAGCAGGAGCAGGAGCATGAGCAGGAATGAGCAGGAGGAGTAGGAGGAGCAGGAGGAGGAGGAGGCGGAGGACCTCCCGCGCCCCCCCTGCCCCTCCCCCTACTGCTGTAGCCGGTGCCCCTCGTCTCCCTGTTGTTTTGTCTTCGTCCTTTGCCCAGTGGGGAGTGGAAAAGCGCGTAATATGGGTGCGTGAGTGTGCGTCTGTGTGCTGAAGAGGTTAGGCTGTTTGGACGCCATAGGTATCATGAAAATAATGGGTGCCCACAGCATTATCAACTTGTCACTAGATGGAGGACGTGGCTGTTTCAAAGGAGGATTGGTTGCCAGTGGAATGTTTTGTAATGTTTTGTGGGGCCACCAAGCTTCGCAGTCGCGAGACCAAGCAACGCATCGCATGGTATAGCGCTCACTGGCGCGCAGCGCGCGGGAGGGGAAGTTCGCGACAACACGGCGCTTTGTCACGCGTTCTGGTCGGGAGTGGCTCGGTCTGCGCAGCGCCAGCGCCTGCGGGGCGCGGCCAGAGGTGGTTCTCGCGGCCATGCTGTGCGTGGGCGGCGACCTACTCGACTGCGCTTTTCGGACCTGCCCGTGTCGTGCGGAGCTCGCTGGGAGGCGTGGAATCAGGCGCACCGTTTGGGGGGGTTGTTCCGGCCATCTAGTTGGAATGCGTGTGTTGTCTATATCGCCCCCCTTGTTCTCTCCAGGATGCATTCGATGCCTCGCTGGTGGGCCCCAGGAAGAAATATACAAGAGAGGGACGGTCGCTGGGACAGACTTTCTGTCCGATGTTGTCACTGTTCCAGAGCTCATGCGGGGCTTCAGCTACGGGGCGAACGGCTCGTCGTCTGTGGCTGGCTCCGTCTGTTGGAGCACCACGTAGTGTGTGAGGGAAACTCCGGAGTCGCGGGATCAGAAGAAAGCCAGGAGCAACCGCCAGATGAAGAAGGGGGGAAAGAAAGGCGGCTTCTGGATGGTAAATACGTTTACCCCGGCCCTGGAGCTGCGGGACGGAGACGAGGAGCCGTCGGCGGAGCTGGCGATCCTGAAGAGTTTGAAGATTGCAATGACGGCCGCTGTTCACCACACGTCAGGGACGAGCCAGGCGCTCGCGGAGATGAAGTTCAGGCTTCTGGACGCACATGGGTTGGGGGACTCGCGGGTCCCAGACATCGAGCTGGAGTGTGTGGCGATCCGCGTTCGGTTTTGGAAGGAGGATTGAGCTCCGTTCCGCTTACTCTGGTTCGGGTTTTCATTGCTCTGGGGCCACGACCTTTCGAAATACGTGGGCCGGATCGTGGCGAGAGGCCCCAGGGGTGATGTAGAGCTGGAGAAGACGCAGCTGGACGACTCCAAGTGGGGCAGGACAAGCATAACGTCACAACGACGAAGCTCGATGATATCAAAGAGGAACAGCTGAAGTTTCAGGTCGCGTTTTCCTCGATGGGCTCCCTTGTCATGCTCATCAAGAAGAGGGCGGACGAGCCCGAGAAATTCGACCAGATCATGAGGGCTCCGATAAGCAGGCTGCAGACCTTGATGGACTGGGCGGAGGATGTCCAAGCGAGGATCGGCGACCTCCAGGGTGCTCCATCATCACCAGAGGACAAGCAGGTCGCGTTGGAAGCGATGGCGAGGCCCATGCTGTTC